CCTTGTCGGTCTTCCTGGGGAGTGCTGTGGGACACTGAGGCCCCAGAGAGATGGGGGGGGGCCTTCCTTTCTGGGGATAAGAGAACTGCTCTGGGCTTCTCTGGCAGCCCCACTCCCTCTGCCCTCCACAAATCTAGGAGTACGTGAGCTGTGTAAAGTAAGTGGTGAGATAGGGGGTGCCTGGGAGCAGCCGCTTGAATGAGCTGTTGGGGACATTTCTTCACAGGACTAGTGAAGTGACTCTATGGCCTGTCTTGTCTCCCTCCATGAAGAAAAGACGTGTCGGTAGGTGGGTTTGTTCTCATCACAGTGGGAAACTCATGCTCAGGGAGGGCAAGAGAGGCTCTCTCCTCCACCCCGACCCCGGCCAAGGTCCTCAGTGAGGGTGCCAGGGGCCTTCCTGTCAGGCTGCTCAGTCTGACTCGGACACCCAGGCCTCCCACTGCCTCTGAGGCTCATGGGTCTGTCTGTTCATGCGTAACCCTGTCTGAGCACCTGCTCTCACCTGGGCACATAGATGCACCGGTGTGAGCCCTGGCGCCCAGGAGACTCTGGCAGCGGAGGGTGGCCAGTGGGACTGGTGCTGAGAGGGCGTGGAGGGTGCTCTGCACCAAGGGGGGCCAGGGGAGGGTGGTGTGGGCAGACGAGATGCGGCTAGATGCTGAGGCTCCCTGCGGGCCCACCTGAGACTTGGGGACAGTCAGACTAAGTGTGAAGGCGGCGGCCGTGTGGCATCCACACCTGCTTCTGCCACAGCCTGGCCGGAGGAGGTGCTGACAGCTGGGAGGTCAGGGCTGGCTGTGACCTGCAGGTACCCAGCTGAACCTCACTTCCCATCAGCTGGGCAACCGTCCCGGGCCTGTGGCTGGGTGGTGAGCCTCTAAGGTTGTGTCCCCAGGAGGGTGGACACCAGAGTCCAACAGTCGAAGAGATTATAGAATTCATCCTCCCCACCCTCACGGTACAGATCGGGGAACCAAAGCCCAGGGAGGCAAAGTGACATGGCCAAGGTCACACAGGTGTCGGTGGCAGAACTGGGACTGAAATGTCAAGGCGTGCTGCCACTCCACCTGCTCCACGAGATGCCTGCTCCTGAACACGGTCCCCTCCCAGCTTCCCCCTACTTTGTTGTGGGGAGAAGAGAGAAGGAACTTGGGGGGACCTGCGGCCTGGGAACAGAATCCAAGCCTGGAGGTTGGGCCTGAACTGAGTCCAACTCTGCGACCCTCTGGCCAAGTGACCTTGACCCTGTCACTTTTTTTTATCACCATCAAAATGGGAGTGATGGTGCCAAGCTCACAGGCCTGGTGAGGAATCCAGGTGCCCATGCAAGTGCTGTGTGGGTCGTGTGCGTGGCACAGCTGTCACCCAGCTGTGAAGAGAAGGAGCTGGGGGCCCTGAGGAACAGCCGGAACAGAGACCTGCTCTTCCTCCCACTCAGCAAACCTTCTTGGTGTTTGCTCTGGGCCAGGCCCTGGCAGGCTACTGGAAAGCCAGATGTGGATCAGACCCGGGCCTGGCTCCATTATGGGAGAATGGTTGTGTAATCAGCAGCTAGGACGAGGTGAGGGGCTGTGGGACCCAGAGGGTGTCTTCTTTTCTCTCCCTTATTTCTCTGTTCTGTGGGCCTCTCCTGACTTCATTCCAGACAGGTTCTCTCCATGCTTCTGACCATTCCAGATTTGCACGGGCTTTAGAGTTTCTAATCCCAGAGAAAGAATGACGACCTCTCTCCAAAGGCTTACCCTTTCTGGGTTTCGAAGGATGAGCTGCCTCGTCTCATTGTCAGGGTCTCATCAGGTGGGCACAGCAAGGAGGGGTTTTCTGGGCAGAGGAGCAATGGCTCGACATCTATACGGGGTCTATACGGGGCTTCCCCTGGGGCTGGGGTTCAGCGTCATGGACAGGCCAGCTCCGGGGCCGGGCTCTGCGGTCAGCCAGGTTGGGACGGTCTGGCCCGGAGGCAGCCGAGTGGGCCAGGCGTGAGGAACGCAGAGTGGCAGCTTCCCCCCGGGCTCCCCTCTAGACTTCCACAGAAACACCTGTCATGCCTCAGTGGACTTGATGTTTCCTACTTTGTTGTGGAGCGGGCTGTGGGTGGTGGTTGGAGTAAGGCACGGTGAGAACAGGCTGGGCAGTGCCGAAAAAGCCCGGCGCTGGTCGCTTGCCATGAAGCTGGTGCAAGTTCCTTAGGCCCCTTCTTCCTGTCTGGTCAATAGGGTGAGGGTCGAACACCTTCCTGCGCTCTGACCGTATCTAATTGCGAGAGACCGCTAATCAGCATAGCAGATGGATTTGGATTAGGCATTAGCAAGAATGTGTCTTTTCAGTGGTTTCAATGGGAGATATGCCACCAGTGCGGAATTACCATGCGGCCCCTCCCCAAGCAGGAGAACTCCGTATGCCGAGGGGAAGCAGTTGGCTGGCCCTGACCCAGAGCAGGGGCTAGACAGCGAGCCCTTTGCTTAAGAGCTCCTCAAGCTGCTGGCCTCGGGGTTCCTGTCTGCTCTAGGAACTGGTCACATGAAGCAATGTCTGATGCCCTTCCCTGCATTACCTTTTATTCCCTGCCTAGCAGAAGGTGGAGGTCCCCAGCACCTCCCCCTACCTCCTTCCCTGCCCCAGACTGGCCCTTCCTGAGACTTTGGCTGAGGATCTTGTTAACATGCCGATTTTGATTTGGTAGAGCCAGTCTAAAAGAGCCCCAGATCTTGCATTTCTAAACAGCTCCAGATCTTGCATTTCTAAACAGCTCCCAGGTCCCACTTTTTTTTTTTTTTTTTTTTAAGATTTTATTTATTTATTTGAACAGAGAGAGAGCACGAGGAGGGGGAGCGGCAGGCAGAGGGAGAAGCAGGCTCCCCGCCGAGCAGAGAGCCCGATGCGGGGCTCGATCCCAGGACCCGGATCATGCCAGGTTCCACTTTGAATAGGAAGGTGCTGGAGTACATTCTGTCTTCTCTCCAGCCAGGGCATGCAGTGGGCCCCAGACCCAGAGCAGGGGCTTGCCTCCCCTTAGCTGCCCCAGCTCCTGCTTCACTTCATCCAGCACAGCTGAGGAGGCTGAGCAGCGGCTAAGCCATGACTTGGGCAGGCCAGCCCTGGGATCAGGGGTTCAGGCCTGTGCTTGGGCCTCACTTCTCTCCGCCATGAACCTACACAGACCTTTCCCCACTTCTGGACTGGTTTACTGGGCCCTGAGCTCAACCTACCTCAGACCTGCTGTGTGCCACATACGAGAGCCCTTTGTCCTTGGCAGGTGCTGTGGGGGAAAGGGAGGTACCCGGAGCAGGAAGCAGGAATCCTGGGTTCTAGCCCTGGTTCTGCCTCCCACTGCCTGGGTAACCCTGGCAAGTCAGTGCTCCTCAGTGACCTGAGGGTCTCATTGGGCCCTACCGGATGACCAGAGGGGGGCCTCAGGCCCCAGCATGGGTTTTGGGAAGGTGCGGGGGTGGGAAGGGCCTGTGGTGGTAGGATTTTCATTTAGAGGGCCAAGTAGCAGTTACGCCAAAACCTCTGCCCATGGCTCTGTGGCCCAGCCTCATTTGCTTTTGTGAGTTCGCATACTACCACCTCCACCCAGTTATGCCTGTGGAGTAGTAGATGCTACTGAGCACCCATAGGTGCTATGCCCTGAGGATATGGCAGGGAACCCTTGCGGTCTTGCCTGGGGTCACCTAGTGAGTGGAACCCCTGGCATCTGGCTCTTCTGCTGGACCACGCCCCCTTCCTCCGATCTACTAGACCAGGTACAGGAGACAGGACTGGTGTGTCTGCCTTGAGGTCTGGTGTTATCTGTGCGTCTCCTAAAAATTAACTTTCAGCCGATGAGGTTTATGTCCCTTTCTAAACTCTGCTGTGACCTTGTTGCTCTCCAGATTTTGAAGAAATGCAAAGGCCTGAGTGTAAGCCCCTAACTCCCTCTCCCAGCAGTAGGCCAGGGTGAAAGGTCATGAGACCCTCAAGGACAACATTGTGACTCAGTCCTTGGGCCTTGCAGAGTGGCTGGTGTGAAGGAATGTTTGCCCAGCATCCAGCAAGCACTCACTGAAGATGTGTAGAGTGAAGGGCATGCAGTTGGGGCTCAGCAGGCATGGGGCTTGGAAGTGGCTCCCTTCCTCTGGTCTAGCTGCCCGTGCCCTTCCCCAGTGCTGCCTCTCCTACCATCACCAGGCTTTCTGGTCCCACTGGAGTCCAGGGCATCATCCTGGGGGCACAGTCAAAGAGCCAATTAAGCGGGCACATCTTTTCCTAACTTCGAGGCTTGGTCGCCGCTTGGTAGCAAACATAATTGCAGCCCTCCCTATCCCAGGCTTCCCGAAGCTCGCTGGCCACTGGGTCCTTTGGGGAAGCAAAAGCTCCCACCTGATTCTTTTCTGGGCCCCAAGCTCTGGGCCCTGAGATGAAGCTGAAAGTGTAAATCCCTCTAAAGGTGGTAATGGTGGTGGTGGTGGTGTTGGGGTGGGGACAAGAGGGCTCAGCCTGCTGGGAAGGGGTCCTGGGGATGAGAGGGGGCAGGGATTGGGGTACTCAAAGTACACTTGGAGAAAAAAGCATTGCAAATTGGATATTGAACCTCTGTCCTTGGCCTCACAGGCACAGATAGCAAAGATTAAATATTTGTACTAGATCCAGATAAAGGATAAGGACAGGAGTTTGATTGGGCTGGAGGGAAGGGAAGAGAACTGGCAATTATGGAGAGCCGCCCCCCACCCCACCCCAGCGTCTTTGGATACTTCATTTGGTCTCCAGTATGACCCCGTGAGGGGAACACCATTCCCAATGGGTATATGTAAAAGTTGGGGCACAGGGAAGCATGCGAACAGCCCAGAATTACAAAGCTACTGGGTGGCAGGCTACGACTTGAACCCGGATCAGTCTGATGTTGTGGCCATGCTCCTGTCACATCACGGAAGGTGTCTGTGGAGGTGGGTTGGTGTTGGGGGCTCTGAGGCTGGAGGGAAGTGTGGCAACAGACTGACCTCTCCCCTCTGCTGCAGGCACTGGCTCCAGCATCCTCTCCGCCCTCCAGGACCTCTTCTCCATCACTTGGCTCAATAGATCCAAGGTGGAAAAGCAGCTGCAGGTCATCTCGGTGCTACAATGGGTCCTGTCCTTCCTTGTGCTTGGTAAGCCGGGGCTTAGAGGGTGAGGGCAGGCAGCGTCCTCGACGACAGAGTTTAGAGCAAGAGCTCTGCTCTGCAGGGGTGACGTGTGAGAGCACCCTCCCACTTACCCCCTTTCGAGTGCCCGATCAAGTGCTCTAGCCCTAGGCATGCATGAGGACTCAGTGAGATGCAGTGGGAGGTGGTGGTACACTTCCCATTTTACAGTTAGGAAGCCCAACTCTCACATAAGGTAAGTAACCTGTCCCAAGTCACACAGATTTGAATCCGGGTCTATAGGACCCCCAAAGCCTGTGCTTCTCCCACATGCTACCCTGCCTACCAATAACCATTTCCCAGCAGGTGTGTTGCTTTGCCTTAGTGTGGTGTGGTGCCGGCTTGAGTCCTAACTCTACCACAGGCAAGCTCTGTGACCTTGAACTCTCTGGAAGTTCATTTCCTCATTTCAGCTGTGGCAAAAATGCTGCCTTCTTCACAGGGCCTTTGTGGGAATTGAAGATGAGGGATGAGAACATGCAGCACAGGGCCCGGTCACGGGGGGCCCCCATTATAGGAGAGCCGCTGTTGGGGTGCGCCCCCAGACCCCACTCCCAGCTGTCAGCACCCTCTGCTGGACACAGTCCCCAGCTGCTCGCCCTCGCCCATTAAGAGCTGCCTCCCTTTCTCTCTCTCAACCCCTCCCCGACCAGTGCTTTGGCTACTTCTGCAGGGCTAGCTTGGTGCTCTCATTCCCGGGCTTGCCCCTCAGACCAGGCTCAGGCCATGGTGGGTTGTCTGGGAAGAGGAAAGGGCCCGTGCGTGGGCCAGCCCGTGCCCTCCTAGCCGCCTCGCTTCTTCCCCAGGCCCCTGTGTTCTCAGCATCATGAGCGGCCTCCCAGCATGTCCGAGCAGAGCGCCACAGAGCACATTCCAGTGCCTGTGGGAGAGTCCTTCTGGGCACAGCCCTCTTTAGGATTGTCTGGGCTGACGGGGGAATGATCTACCTGATGAGCTACCATATCGGCGCTGAGCCCCTGTCCTTCCAGGAGGCATGGGGGCCTCTGAGACCACGCTTCCAGAGCAGTTCCACGCTGCCTCTGCCTTCCTTTGCAGGGCAGAGAGAGGGTTGGGACAGGGGTGCTGTTTATCAAGCCTGCATGGTGCCCCCAGGCACCTAATGTGCCTTTCCTTGACTTTCTACTTCACAGGTGAGGAAATAGAAACTTACAGAGCTTCACTGACTCTCTGAGACTGTGAAGCTCCTTGAATGGCATAGCTGGGATTTGGGGGGAAGCCCAGAGCACTCACCAGGGAGCCCACCTTACTGGAGAGCTCAGAATTGGTGGACCTGGTCTAAAACAACCAGTTTTCACCTTTAGGCCCAAGAGTAGGTTTTAGGGAGAGGGCCAGGAACCCCCAAAATTAGGTGAAAAATTATATGTGAGAATATGTGCACCTTTTTCTGGGGTGAAGGGCAATTACCATCTTCAGATTCTTAGAGAGATATATGGCCTCAATGAGATAAACACTGGTCTGGGGAACAGAGCAGATTAAACCGGCTCCCTTCGGGCTCAAACCTCTACCCTGGCCCACATCTGGCCACTTCTTAGGATCCTAGAGTAGAGAGGCCGGAGGGGGCAGAGCCTTGCCCAGAATGAGGAGGAAGTGGTGGGACCAGGGCAAGACCCCAGGGACTGCAGCCTCCCAGACACATGTGCAGTCTGCTGCACCCGCTCCCTTAGTCCCCGTTTGTACCAAGAAGCCGCCACCATCCCTGTCTTAGCTTGGCTGCCGGGGAGCTGAGCAACTGCCAGAACCCCAGCCCATGCAGGCTGCAACAGGGACTGGCCTCAAGTTGTAGGTTTGCAATCGATCAGGTCCAACGTAGCCCAGAAACCGGCCCAGCATCTTCCCAACGCCCTTGTGTAGGTGGGAGCCAAGCCTGCTCGGATGGGCAGGTCTGCTGAGCTGGGGCTAATTATTGCCCTGAGCAGCCCCAGCCGCTCCTTCCTGCTCCCACCCAGATCTGCCGGCAGAGGCTCTTCTGGTGTCTCAAAGGCTGCCACGGCCCCGCAGCCTACCTTTGAACAGGTGGGCTCTACCATTTTTGCCCAGTGGACCCTTCTGGCATTCTGGTAAAGGCCGTAAACCTTCCTCAGGGTTTTTAAACATGTAATACAAAGTACATTGGGTTTCAGAGAAAACCAATGATATTTAAGTGTAAATATATAGATATATATATATGCGCATTTAAGAAGTCAAATGAGGCATAGAGTAACACGTGTGCCTCTTTATTATTACATGAAATAAAAAGATCTAGCGGCAGATGTAACCGTTACTCTAATTCTTAAACATTTCGGAGAATAAATGGTGTTTTAAGGTCTCTGCCGCTGCTCTAAATGTGATACGAAAACACCTTTGCTCTCCCCCGGAGCCACGGTCGACAGGTCACTGCTAACGCGCTGTGGTCTGTTACACGAGTCAATGGAGGAAATACTCAATTTCCCTCAGAGAGGGGTGAAAATTAAGGTGTCATTTTGTTCCCCATCCAAGTGCATGGATCCCCGGACGGGATGCCTGGCTGTGTGTTTGTTCTCCTCCACATCACGTCGTGTAACTTTCCCAATGCCCTGTGAGGACATGGAGGCTCAGGGAGGGGCTGCAACCCGTGAGTGGCAGGGCTGAGGCTTCCTGGAGCAGCCCGTCGTGCTGCCTCCCAGCCCCTGAGCCGCCACAGGCCGCCCGGCTCACAGGCCTCCGTTGACCGGAGGTTGGAATCCCCGGCTTCACCAAGACGTGGGGAGGTGAAGCTGGTGAAGGTGGCCCTGGGCCTTCCGTGCATGGAGCCCGCAGGGTCTTTAAGTGGTTGTTGACCCAGCTGCAGTCCTGTGGCCCACAGGGGGGAAGCAGGGAGCCCCCTGTTCAGAGGACTGGGATCAGGCTCTGAGAAAGTAGGGTTCAGCTCGTTTTTTTGCTCCCTGAACCTTTCCTGGGTCGGCTGCTGGGGCTGGAGAGGTGAATCGGAGCTCCAGCTCCCGGGGAGCCCCGGGGCTGAAGGGCTGTGCGCAGGACGGAGTGCGGCGCGTGCTGTGAGAGAGGGGCGGTGGGCACGTGGGGGCTCCGGGGAGCAGGGCTGGAATACAGTCTCTGGACTCCTAGTGGGTTCTCTCTCCCCCCACCCAGGCTGCCTGAGCAGCAGTGTGAGGACAGTAGGGAGGGATTCCCTCCTTCCCAGAGAGCTCAGACTTGGAGGCAGTGGGGCCTGCCGCTCAGCCCCCTCTGCTCCCCGTACCCCTTAGGAGAGTTAGGGGTTTGACGGCAGCTAGATTTCCAGGCCGCTCGGACGCTCGCCTGAACCTCACGGCCCTGCCCAGGCCCACCTGGGGAATCCACCTGGCCTCTGTAGGAGCTTGGATACCTGTGGCGTCTAGGGGGCTGGAACAGCCCATTTCCCAGGCCTAAGAAAGGGGACCAAAGGCAAACTGCTCAACAGTGTGAGCGACTTTGTAAGTGGCCTTAACTTAGACATAGCCATTCACCCAGCTGCTCCGCGTACTTCACAGTTTGCCTTTAATGGGGTTTTGTAGGCTGCAAATGCTTCCCTAGAGACTACCTCTTCCCTGTCTGTGATGTCACACTCCTAAGCTGGTCCTGAGAAGCTGGATGCCTGGTCACTCTATGTTCACTGCCCCTCCCAAGATAGTTGTACTATTTTTAGCTACCTTGGGAGGTTAGCTCAGGAGTAGACCAGGACTGCATTGTGGATGACAAGGGACCACCATTTTCCTGCTCTGAGGCTCAGGGGGGAGTCCATCTGGCCCTCCCCCCTCCCTCAGAGGAAAGCAGAGGAGGCTCAGCATAGCAGGAAGAAGAGAGAGCGTGGGATCCAGAGCCAGGCAGCCCTAGAGCACCCATGACCGGCTCAGTGCCCAGCAGAGGGTGGGCATACAGCAAGGGTTGACTTCCCTCCCTGAGCAGTGGGGGAGGGTGCTGGATGGAAGTCACGCTCTACCTCGCATGAGCACCGGCTGCCCCCAGCCCTGTGCTGAGTGCCAGGGGGCAAAGAAGATGTGCCCCCCCACCTAGTGTGGAGAATTCAGAGGTGAGAGATCCCTGTGGGAGGGCACTATGATACTGGAGGATGGTTCTTGGAGAGATCTGGTCTGAGTGAGACCTGGAAGGCTGGGTAAAATGGGGATAGAGGCCCTGATGAGGGCTTCCAGGGGCCAGCCCTGAGCTAAGCCAGCTCTGGCGCAGACTTCATTGCTGCGCCAGGTTATTCAACATTAGGGCCAGAAGACCCAGAAAGGAGTGACTGCATGGAAGGTGGCCCCAGGGAGTCTTCTGAGGGCCCTGCTGGGGTTTTCGCAAGGGGGCCTGATGGGCTCTGGGCTTTGGCCTGGGCCTGACTGCAGCCCTCTTATGTTGGAAGGGGCCGGCCCTCCTCCCGGGGCAGGAAGCCACCTCTGTCAGGTCCCTCCGGTGGCAGTCTGGGCCTTCTCATTTTTGGTGAACTTCTAAAGCCTGCTGCAGATTATGGATTCACTGGTCCAGCCCTGGCTCTGCTGGGACACCTGGGTGGCTCAGTCAGTTAAGCGTCTGCCTTTGGCTCAGGTCACGATCCCAGGGTTCTGAGATCGAGTCACGCATCAGGCTCCTTGCTTGGCAGCTGGCCTGCTTCTCCCTCTCCCGCTCCCCCTGCTTGTGCCCTCTCTCCCCATTCCCCCCCCCCGATAAATAAAATAAAATCTTTATGAATCCTGGCTCTGCCACTGTCCTGCTGAGTGACCTTTGGCATGTTACCTCCTCCTGGAGCCTCAGTGTTCTCATCTCCAAAGTGGGATAAAGTTCCCCGGCCTCACACTTGAGACGGTGGCTCAGCCCAAGTCCTGAGATGTAGAGGCACTCGGTGGGTCCCTCCCTGCGTCCACAGTAACTGTGGTCGGCACTGGGGTGGGGAGAACGTGCAAGGAGGGGCCCGAAAGAACAGCTCTAAGGACGGCTTTCCCAGTGCTACTGCCCAGACCGCATGGACCCCACGAGCTCGTGGACGCCAGGAACGCCCATCAGAATCTAGGGGATGAGGTTCTTGTCCCCGTGAGCCTCATCCTCCCCAGGCTGTGGCTGCAGGCCTCCTCTGCCCACCGCCCCAGCTGTACCGAAGGCGTGTCATTTGGTGAGCCTTTGCCCAGAGGGGAGACTGAGGCCCACCCCCAGGGAGGACAGGGCCTGACCCATGGCCCTCTGCTTCCCCACCAGGAGTGGCCTGCAGCGCCATCCTCATGTACACATTCTGCACCGACTGTTGGCTCATCGCCGTGCTCTACTTCACCTGGCTGGTGTTTGACTGGAACACGCCCAAAAAAGGTACACGCCCCACCCCCTCCTTGCCCCACCCCCTTGCCCTTGGGACCCGCCCTCCTGCGCAGAGCGGAAGTTCCTCAGCGTGGGGGCCACCACTTTTTACTTAGCACCTGCTATGTAAAAAGCGGGGAGCTAGGCCAGGGTGTGGTTCCGGGTTGGGGTGTCGAAAGCCCCTCAGAAGGCACCGTCCTGGTCCTCAGAGGAGCTCACACTCCATCAAGGGTTTGCGTAACGTGAGGGAAAAAAGGTGAGAAAGGGCCCAGTGGGGAGGCGGGAGAAGATGCCCCGTAGGGTGACAGTCCCCTCACTCAGGGTCTCACTGGCTCTGTCTTCTCTGCCTTGCCCAAATGTCACCCGCCCCCACTCCCGCTGCTTCCCAACACTGTATTTTGTTCCCTGGAAGGTGGCAGGAGGTCGCAGTGGGTCCGAAACTGGGCTGTGTGGCGCTACTTTCGAGACTACTTTCCCATCCAGGTAAAGACTTGCGGGTGTTAACTCGGGAGGGTGGGAACGGGTGGGAAATCTGAGCGCAAGCTTTAGCTCACCCGTCTGCGGGTACCACATGTGCTGAGTTGAACCACGTGACCCCTTCCACTGTGGACATCTGTTCATGTTCTACCCCACTTTATGCAGGATTTGAGGCAATGTAGGATACATACAGTGTCACACCAGGTAAAAACAAAAGTCAAGACCTGAGGGAAAAGCTACTAGCAGTTCAGCCATAAGGGTCAACAAAGTTGCAGTAGTTGAGCTTCATGGTCAACTCTTAGCTTCCTGGCAGCCAAGGCAAAAAGGGAAACATGATAGTTGTTGGTTTTTATTTTGAGAAAGGACAAAGCATGCTAGTTTCTTAAGGAAACAGGACTTGTTCTAGCATTTGGATCTAAAAGATGTTTCCGACACTGAGATCCTTAGTGATATAAGGAGCGTGTATAATAGCAGATATTAGGGCCGTTGCTTGTCTGCCTTTCAGTGAATATTAAAGGCATAACTGAAATGGCAGCAATTTATCAAGAGCGATGCTAAGATAGTTCCAAGTCCATCTGACCTGAACCACGGATACAACTTAAAGCAGTAGGTATGAGGGGCTCTTTTTTCCTTCTGAAGCGCTGAAAGATCATCACTTCTCTCAGCCAGCTGCAGGTGGCCCACTGGGGCTCATGACCAGGGAATTAGGGCCCAGGAAATTAGATGTGCCGTGATATAAGAGTGAGACCCTAGTTCTGAAGTGCTCAGGGGAGGCTTCTGGAGGACGTGCTCCTAGAACTCCACCTTAAAGATGAATAGCACTGAAGAGGCATGGAAACGGAAGAACGCAAGGCACCTGAGTTTGAGAAGAAGCCTGCCGTGTGGGGGATGTTGAGGAGGCAGAGTGGAGGAGGAGGATCTCCATTTATTGGGAGCCTTCCAGAAACCAGCACCTTTCCTCAAGGAGTCCCCGTTAACCCTCACAGTACCCCGTGAGGCGGGTATGCATTTTATCTCTTTTTCACAGAAGAAAAACCTGAAGGTCAGAAAGTAGTAAAGCTGAATGAGGCTAGTAGCAGTTTGAGCTGAAATTCCATTTGCTGCCTTGCCTCAGAATGCTGGACTCTTCCCAACAGCATGCTGCGTCCCTATGCTGCAGAGCTGTAGGAAATAAGCTCGGGGACTCCAGCTTCCCTCAGGCTTGGAGGAAGAGCCCAGTATGACCCTGAGTGAGGCCCCGTCCCTTCCAGCATGCAGTCGCCCCATATGAAGCGAGTTTAGACTAAGTCGGTCTCTGGGTTTCCTTCCTGCCGCACCACTATTGGCTGCTCTGGGACCCCCATGCTGGTCTTCTACGCACCTATCTTCTCTGGGGCCAGCCTCCAGGTCCTGACAGGATCAGTGGTGGCTTGGTCTGGACTTTTTCTCATCTTTGTCTGGCCCCCTGCCAGTGGTCTACAAGCCAAGCTGGCAAGGCAGAGGCCATCTGGGCCCTAGTGCTGGGGGATTGTGGCTAACTCTGGCAGAATCCCGAAGGGGAGAGACCTGTCTGGCCAGCTCACTGAGCACCCCAGCACTGGCACATCCTAGCTGCTTAGGGTGACCCAGCAGAAGGCAGTGGGGTCTGAAGAGCCAAGGCAGCAAGTGTGAGAGTGAATGTGTGTGTGGTGCAGGGTGGTGTATGTTTGCTGCTGTGAGTCAGCGACTGAGACATCCTGGCATGCTGCCCAGAGGAGGTGGCCGGGTAACCCTACATTCCTCCACTGCCCTCAGTGTTGGGAGGAAGCTCCCTCTGCTCGCCACAGCCTGAGCCAGTTTTCCCAGGATCCTTGGGGTCAGGGCTCCCGCTCCTCCCTTCCCCTGACCCCATCTCCCTGGCTGCAAGGAATTCAAGCCTGCTGTTGCTGGGACAGAGTTGCATCATCGGACCTAACCCTGTCATTCTGGAAGTGGAGAGACTGAGTCCCAGAGACGGGCATGGTCTGGTCCAGGTTGCATGGTGAGTCCATGCCGGCGTTCGTACTAGAATCCAAGCCCCAGGCTCTTTCCCACTGAATTCCTACTGCCATTGAGCCCCACTTCCTGGGTCTCCCTCCCTCTGCTTTGTGGTTAGAGACCTGGGTTGAGTTCCTGTTCTGTCACTCTGTTTACTGCCCAGGGCTGTAGCTCCCTGTCCCTGCGCTGGGCTCTGTGCTAGGCATGGGGACACGGAGGAATCAGCCCTGGCCCCTCAGGTGGGCTCACCATCTAGCAGATTCTGCTAGACTTTGTCACTTTCTGCCCAAGGGACCACAGGCATACTTTCTCAAGCTCACTGAGCCTCATTAGCCTTACTTGCAAAATGGAGCTGTTCGTATGATAAAAAGTGGTAAATTATGGGTGGGTGTGAGAGATTATGGATTCTCTTCCCTCTGCTGGGACCTTTACCTCAGAGGTCAGGCCACAGTGATCAGAGCAGCCTGTCCCTCTGGAAGATTCCTTGAGTCCAGTAGCCCCCTCCACCCAAAACAGGATGACCCAATGACCATTGGCCAGAGCTGGGACAAGCAGGTGCCCTTCCCCACTTATGTCCACATTTCCAAAAGAACCAAAACAAAACCCTGTGTCCCTTTTCGCACCTCTATTCCAAGAAGTCAGATGGGAATTGGAGTACAGGGCACACGTGGGCTGGCCGGGAGAGGGCCCCTAGGCACCAGGACCCAAGCCAACCTGGGCCTGAGGCCGGCCAGGCCATGGAGCCTCAGCCTGGGCTCTGCTCTTGCCCACTGGTGAACTTGGCCGAGCCCCTGATCCTCAGGGCCTCAGGCTGCTCTTCTGTGCAGAGAGGGTTTGGCCTTGGTGACCCGATGTCAGGGTTGATGCTCTGTGGTGTTCTGTGTGGCCCTCCTGGCCTTCCCCCTTCTCCTGGCCTCTTGCCAGTGGTTATGTAACGATCTCTGGCTGTAACCACCCGCCCGCCCTTCCCCACGCCCTTCTTCGTATAGCTCCCTGCCACCAGAGCAGCTCAGCGAGCCCCGAGAGCATCCCTTCTTCCAGCACAGAAGGGCTCATGCGTTAGCAGTGGCCACCAGCACCACCGGCTACCAGAAGTAGGGGTGGTGGCACCCGAGTCACCTATCCCTGAGTTATAGGCAGGATCTCTGGAGAGGAGACTAGGAAAGACTCTCTGAGCTTTGACTGATCTATCTGTCCATCTGCTTCATTTCCCAGTTGGTCCTCCCAAGGCCCAGAGAGGTGGGACTGTCCCGAGGTCCCAAAGCAAGTCAGTAGCAGGGTTGAGAGAAGTGGCAGCTCCTTTCTCTAGGCCTCTGTCTCCACCTTGCAATCAAAGGAAGGGCCTGGATCAGGGCTCTTCCAGCACATTTTGTGCTTTGGGCTCCCAGACCCAGCCTTCAGTTCTGGAGCAGGTTACGAGGGTGGTGCTGGCAGCCTCCGCTCTTACCTTGACACGTTCCTACTGTTTGGAAGCCCGCCCCAGGTTCCAGCTTTCCTGTGAACTAGTGTCCTGGGCACACCTGCTCTCCGGGAGGTGAACTCTCAGAGCAGTCTCCTCGCAAAGCTCACGTGAAGCCGGGCCCCCTTTTAGACCCCACCCCCCACCCCCTACCCAACAGTCATGGCTTAGGCTGCCTGTGTTTTCCATTTATGTAGCGGGCAGCAAAGCGCTGGTTGGGTTTTTGAGCAGCTTTAACGTGCTTGCCAAAGGCAAAGTGGGAGAAAGAGTAGGGAAGGCCTGAGCGGCAGTGGGGGTGGAACTCAGGGGGGCGTGCTCAGACACGTCCCCGCAGTCATAGAGCTGGGAATGGGGCCAGCCACCATCTGCTCTATCCCCCTCGGGCCTCTGTCACCTGAAGGTTCAGATTTCAGTTTCCCAGGGCCAGCCACCAGCACTGCGTCCCCCAAATCGAGCCCCAGGTCCTTTCCCCAGCCAGGGGTTCCCAAATCGGGAGTCATGGAAAACCCAGGCCGTTGACATTCTGCCAGTGGCCCGTGGCTCTGTGTCCAGCTCACGCCAGTGCAGGGACACAGGCACTTTCTGGCATGGGAAGGCGGGTGTTATCAGTGGACCCCGCTAGAGGCTGGGCAGCCCATGAGACCAAAATGTTCATACCCTTGGCCCCAGGAACTGTGACTTCTAGAAGTTTGTCAAACAATCAGATATGTGGACAAAAATTAGGTACTTATGGAAGCCTTATTTCTGAAGGAAAGTCTGGAAGGTTTTTAAAGATCCATCCATCGGAGGTTGATTATAATTCTGTTACACACAGCATAACTGTGGGGCAGGATAATGCAGCCAGGAGAGACATGTGACCGAGGGATTGTGATAGGAAAAATAGTTAAGATATGCTTGGTAGAAAATTATGTAAAAATGAGGGGCACCTGGGTGGCTCAGTTGGTGAAGCGTCTGCCTTCGGCTCAGGTCATGATCCCAGGGTCCTGGGATCAAGCCCTATGTCAGGCTTCCTGCTCGGTGAGGAGCCTGCTTCTCCCTCTCCCTCTGCTGCTCCCCCTACTTGTGCTTGCTCTCTCTCTCTCTTTGTGTGTCAAATAATTAAATACAAAATAAAATCTTTTAAAAAAAGTAAATTATGTAAAAATGATATCAACCATGTGCCCTTAATTTTGTGGTTTTTAAAAAAGAGTAGCAAAAGAACTCAACACGTCAAAGTGGTTTATCCGGATGGAGATAGGGCAGGTGCTTTGGATAGATTACCTTTTTACTTTCCTGTATTTTTAAAGTACTCTATGATTATTCATTAATTTTCTAATCGGAAAAGAGGTGATGTTTCTGAATAGCCTTGCTCTCCAGCGTGCTCAGCACCCTCCACCCCCACCATGTTCCGTGCAATGCTGGGCAGGTGCCTCAGAGTCTAGGGCAACTTTGCACCACCCACCCCACCCTCCAAGCCACCAACCCCAGGGCAGGGAGCAGCCCCCGGAGGAAGCCAATCATTCCTTAGAGCATCCCAGGACAGCTTTGTTGACAGTACCACAGCTCAGCTGCCTGGCTGGCCCCCTGCCCCTGCCAGCGCTGGCATAGGCCTGTTGCTCGCCCCTGGCCTCCCTGCAATAGAGCATGAGCCGAGCCTGGCTGCCTGGAAGGAAGTTTCCATTCAGGCCACCTGCACTGTCCCTTCTCTGGCCAAACTAAGGGACATGGACTTTACCTTGACAAAAACTGGACACCCCTCTTTATCTGAGAGCAGCAGGGGTTCGATGAGGACAATGGGCCCAGGAGGAGGGCAGGCAGGAGGCTGGCAGGGCGCAGATGACAGGACCTGGTGTGTCTGGCTGGAGAGGTAAGGGAATGAGAGGGAAAGTTCCCCACTCCCTTCCTGGGCGGGGACTCACAGTCTCAATGGAGACTGCAGCGAGTCTCAGGTCATGTGTTGCAGAGTCGCCCAGGGTATGGCGCCCCGGGTCCTTCCCCCATCTTCTGGGCATGTCCCAGTACCCCTCTCCTGGCATCTCCTCCAACCCGAGTTTTTCCCTGCAGCTGGTGAAGACACACAACCTGCTGACCACCAGGAACTACATCCTTGGGTACCACCCACATGGCATCATGGGCCTGGGTGCATTCTGCAACTTCAGCACAGAGGCCACAGAAGTGAGCAAGAAGTTCCCCGGCATAAGGCCCTACCTGGCCACGCTGGCCGGCAACTTCCGGATGCCAGTGCTAAGGGAGTACCTGATGTCTGGAGGTGAGAGGCCGCCTCCGCCTGCCCCTGCTGGGCTCTGTTGTCCAGGCCCGGACCTCGCCACTGAGCGAGGTGATGGAGGGAGCAGGAGGTCAATACGCCGTGCCCCAGTGGCTGGGCCTGTGTGGAGAGATGCAGTGTGGCCCAGGCACGGCGGACCAGTTCTGAGCAGGAGAGCTGTCCATGCGGTCATCAGGGTTTCGCTTGGCTCACATCTTCCCTGGGAAGGCTTCTCCGACCCCAGCCCCTGTGCTGCCCTTTGCACACGCGAATCAGGGTCAGTGGCTCTGTCCTATCCACCTGCTGTGACCCCTGCCGCCCCGACTCATTGGGCTCCCCAGCTCCTAGCAACAGCCTGCAGAGCTAGGACCTCAAGGAATGTTTGCCAAATGAAGGAGTTCCCTAAACAACCTCATATCGTTATCCCTGTTTTACAGATAAGCAAGCCAAGGCTCTGAAAAAGAAATAGCTTAGGCAGGGCCATGTAACTTCTAGTGGCTGGCTTAGATCTGGGGCCCAAGGCCAGGGCTCTCTCTGTTCACGCCCAGCTGTACGCAGGGGGTAGGGAGTGCCTTTGTGGGCAGCCCTGACTCTGTGTCCTTCTCCCTGCCAGGCATCTGCCCTGTGAACAGGGACACCATAGACTACTTGCTTTCAAAGAATGGGAGTGGCAATGCCATCATCATCGTAGTGGGGGGCGCAGCCGAGTCCCTGAGCTCCATGCCTGGCAAGAACGCGGTCACCCTGCGCAATCGCAAGGGCTTTGTAAAACTGGCCCTACGCCACGGGTAAGTGCCCCCCCCACTCACGTGCACGCACGCACGAGTGCACACGCACACACAACAGCGTGCACTGCACGCACAGCCCTCCGAAGCTTTGTTTGGCCCCAACAGAGCAACTCCTCGGCCCCTGGAGGCAAGGCCCAGACCCCAGGAAGGCATGGATGAGAGTTTGCCATCCTGTGGGAGGGGGGAGATTGGCCGCCAGAGCTGCAGAGCAAGTTTGCCCGAGCGTAGCCCGATGGTCTGAGTGGAGCAGAAATGCCACCTGTGCTCCCCGGGGCCCTTGCAGACAGGCCGAGAGGCCAGGCTCCCGTGCGGGACTGTGTGCCCTCAGGCCAACACGTGTCCTGCTGCTAGGAGAGCAGGAGGCCGGCAGTTAGGGTGTGACGGACCCTGGCTTCTCCCTTCCAGAGCGGACCTGGTTCCCACCTACTCCTTCGGGGAGAATGAAGTATACAAGCAGGTGATCTTTGAAGAGGGCTCCTGGGGCCGATGGGTCCAGAAGAAGTTCCAGAAGTACATTGGCTTTGCCCCGTGCATCTTCCATGGCCGAGGCCTCTTCTCCTCTGACACGTGGGGGCTGGTGCCCTACTCTAAGCCCATCACCACCGTCGGTGAGCTTCCCCTGCCCGCAGCTCCTGAACTTCGGGTGCCCCACTGCTAGTTTGTGGCGGAGTTAGGATTCACATCCAGGCTATGTGGTTCTGATGTCCACGCTCTAAACCTTGTGGATGCAGACATGTTTGGGTGCTGAATGGGATGGCGAGTGGGGGTGGGGAGTGGGCGGTGGGGAATTAGTTCCATTGCTATGAGCCAAGCAGTGCCAGGTGAGAAAACAAGACTCGGCAGTCTGTGTGTGTAGAGCCCGGAGTCTATGCGGGAAGACCAGGAAGACCAGTCTGTGGAGCAAAGACCAGGAGGGGGTGTGAGGGGAATGTGCAGGGTGCTCTGGGGCCTTATAGTGGACCCCAGGGAAGAGGTGACTCTTACACCTCTAGCTGAAGAGGAATTATCTAGCAAAAGAGACGTGAAGGAGAGATTTGTCGGAAACATGAGCCTGAGTGGACTTCCACAGCAAAAGTGTATAGATTTTTGAGAAACAAAAAGAAAAACATCAACATGACTGGAGCATAGGCCTCTGAGAAGTATAGCAAAAAACTGGCTGCTCTTGTCCCTCAGTTGTGTTGTTCTGTGTGTGTGTGTGTGTGTGTGTGTGTGTGTTTCACAAGCCAGAGATCACACAGAAGTGTGTAGGCCACCAGCCGTGGACTTTCGGGGTCAAAGCTCACATAGATGCTTTGCGTTATCAGGGTCAGGTGTTTTGCTTTGGATTTTTACAAAGACTAACTTCCTGCATCTGAGGTCCCAGACCCAGACTCACTCTCTGCTCTCGTTGCACAGGCCTACATTACCAGGCCTGATCTCTTTGAGGCAGCAGGGACATTTCCATGCACAGGTGTGGCTGGAGAGGGACAGGCTCCCATGGGCAGTGGGAATGAGTTTGCGCTTCACCTAAAGAATGGAGAGCTGCTTGAGGACTGGGGGGAGGAGAGGTTCAGAACTGCACTTTAAAGTGATTCTTGGGGCTGCTGGATAGCCAATGGGTTACAGGGGTCAAAACAGAAGCCCCCGAAATGGGTGCAGATGCCTCTCTAGCAGCCAGGGGGGACTGAGGGAATGGGCATGGAAAGGGCAAGAACTGGGGAGAAATTTCCAAAATGTCTTTGCCAGGGCTTCGGGATGAGTTGGGTGTGAAGATGCAGGAAGTAAAGCAATGCATGTGTGCATGAATGTTGCACCCCTCCTCCTCCCTCACCACACTTTTCAAAGCACGTGATCCTCAGCAAAGCCCTAGGAGGAAGGATCCCATGGGACAGGTGAGGCAACTGAGGCTCAGTGAGGCTATGTGACTTGCGCAGAGCGGGGCAAGAGTAATGCCATTACTTGCTCCCATAGCCCTCCCAGGAGCTTCCAGTCGAGTGAGTGGGTGCAGCCAATGTTGATCTCACCCGCTGCTTAGTGGCTGTGGGCCCTGGGGCAGGTCCCTTCCATGCCCCAGGCCCTCCTCATCTGTCAGGAGGACAACCTGAGCTGGAGCACATTTAGCCCAGTTCCTGGCACATGGCTGGCACGTAGTGCAGGGTCACTGCCATCAACATCGTGGTAGACTCTCAGGGAGGTGGACCGAGTGGGCTGACTAACCAGAGGCCTCTGCCCCATCGTTGCAGTGGGTGAGCCCATCACCATCCCCAAGCTGGAGCACCCAACCCAGCAGGACATAGACCTGTACCACACCATGTACATGGAGGCCCTGGTGAAGCTCTTCGACAAGCACAAGACCAAGTTCGGCCTCCCGGAGACCGAGGTTCTGGAAGTGAACTGAGCCCACCATTGGGGGCCAGCTCCTGGGAGGAATCAGCTACAAATCGTTTTCTACCAAGTTCTCGAATGCTTTTTTGTTCTGTAAATTTGGAAGCGTCATGGGTGTCTGTGGGTTATTTAAAAGAAATTATAATAATTTTGTTAAACCATTACAAATGTTAGGTCTTTTTTAAGAAGGAAAAAACGAATATTGCAAACTCTTTCACTTCCAATTTGTCCTGCTCTAGGTGATGGCTAACATATCTGGGCCTTCACGGTTTCTCAACCAACCCTTCTTCCTTTCCCAAAATTACAGAGAAAACTCAGTCCTGGTTAACTGGGAAAGAAGGACAGCCATTCGTGGCTCAGGCCGGTTAGATTATTTGCTTTTTCCCACTGCGGGATGAGGGGCAAAAGCCACTTGTAATACAAACACCTCTATTCCAAACTACCTACCCTGCACTTAACTGCAGGACTGGTCCCTCTTACCAAGGGGAAGACTTGGAGGGCACAATTGTCCCCATCTTGAATGCTCCAGCTTGAGTCTCTCCAGTCTTTTAAATCTAAGGCCTCCAGAGCAGGAATGGGGGTGGCAATGACCCTGTGCCCAGATGCACCATTTCCGGGATTATTCAGCCACCATGTCTGGTTGGAGTGACTGGTCCTCCACAGGGTGCTGACATGGACCCAGAACGACCCGGACTTGGCCTGAATCACATACTTCCCCCATGGCCTCAACTTGTTTAACCCATACCCCCAAGTGTGGGTGTGAGGAAAGGGTCCTTCTTCCTGTTCACAGAGGGGCCTGGCCTTCTGAGCAGCAGATTGGTTTCAGGTCAGGAGGCCCCTGAACCCAAGCCTCACATATTTGTGCCTTTCTGAGAGGGCAGGGGCCAGGGAAGAAATCCAGGCCCTCCTCTGTGCATCCTGTTTCCTTTTGATGCGATTATTGTACCATGTCAGACTTTTGTATTTTCCAAAACGAATAAATAAAAACGAGAGTCCTCTGTGAGTTATTGCTGGGGCTACATCTGTATCTTGCCACTGACACTTAGGGAAACCAGGGCCCCATCTGGGCTGCCTGCCAAGCCTTCCCCTTTGCTCATTGGGCTACATGACCCTGTGTGGTGTACTGGTTATCTAGTGTTGTGTGACAAATTCCTCCAGAATGTCGTGGCTTCAAACAACATGGTGTCCACCACACAATCTGAGGGTCAGTAGTTGAGGTGCAGCTTCTACTTCAGGGGCTCACACAAGGCCATAGTCAAGGTGTCGGCTGGGCTGCAGTCATCCTAAGGCTTGACTGGGGGAAGCTCCACTTCCAAGGTCATCCATGTGGTTGCTCCCAGGGTTCATTTCCTCACTGGCTATTGACCAGAGGCCACTCTTAGTTGCTTACCATGGGGGATTTTCCATGGAGTAGCTCACAACGTGGCAGCTGGCTTCATCAGAGAGAGTAAGCAGGAAGAGCCAGAAAGAGTGTGCAAGGTGCAAGTCACATTATTTTATAACTTAATCTCAGATGTGATCTGCCGTATTCTCCCCATTAGATGCAAGCGACTAGATCCAGCTCACACTCAAGAGGAGTATACACTGAGTGAAAATCTGGAGGCAGGGGTCCTTGGAGCCCCCTCATGGCTGGCTACTACATGTGGTAAGGGTTTCTGTCCTATATGTAGGTAAGGGCTATGGTCCCGAGATGACTGAGCTGGAAGCGTCCTCCACGGATCACTCAAACCATGTTGTTTGCCCCTGGCTTCAGTTACACCACAAAGAGGGAGAGCTCTTCCAGTCACTGTAGTGATTTCAGGCCACAACTAGGTCTCACAAGATGGCACCTCTCTCTGTTCGAATTCCATTCGATTCAACGAGTACTAAGCAGCTGGGAACCCCTGCTAGCTGAGACCAAATGACTTCATTCCAACTGCCTAAGTGCCCACCCTTGCCATTCATTTATCCACTTCGAGGACCACTCCCCTGGGCATCCAACGTGGGGTGCCTCATTGAGCTGGGACCTCGATGTCTGACCTGGGACTTGAAGGGTGACTGGAAGTTTGCCAGGGAGGAAATGAAGGGCAGAGCAGCAAGCAGGTGCAAAGGCCGGGGAGACGGCACTGCTGTGTTGAAGGAGGAGGTATTGGGAGATAGGTCTGCAGTGGGGCTTGGCTTGGAAGGGTGGGAGGGTTGACTTCTCCAGAGTTTCTAGATGGGCAGGAGGGCAGGCAGCAACGGGAGGTACCCTGGAGGGGCCTCAGGTCCACAGAGCTCCGGTAGAGGACAGATATTTCCCTTAGGATGGAGGAAAGGCCTGTTTTTTGATGACAGTTTCAGCCCCTTTCCAGCCCCAGTCTGAGGTTAGCCATGACCCTCAGCCTCTGGCTCCAGGCTGAGCCCTGGCCCTAACCTAGGCCACCTCACAAAGGTAGGCCCTTATTCTCAGCATTAATTTTGTGAAGGTTGAACACCTACTGTGCGCAAGGGAACTCCACCATCTCTGCCTACGAACAGCAACAATCAGCAGGCCCCCAAATCCCAGAGGGGGACCTCACCTAGGGCAATGTACATCTAGCAGCAGCCTGCTCTAAGCAATGGGTGGGGGGCTCTAGGTAAATGCTGTGAACCTTGCCTCTGATGGGGAGTTGTTACCTCGGGAGAGGGAACAGGATCCTCCTTTTCCAGACGACCCTCAGAGGTGGGGCTGTAGTCCCAGCCTGGAAGTTGTCAATTCCGTGATTCTACTTGTGGTTCACAGATATGGCCACTAGAGGGCACCGGGGCTAGTTCTGAGGCAAACGTCCCACAGGGGCCTGGGGTTTCTTTTCACGTTGTGGCATTTCAGCGCTCCGACCCTGGGCTAGAAACTCGAGAGAGTAAAACTGACTCACAAATGCTCAGAGCTAACCAGGAACTCTTCTTTTTCCAGGGCCTTAAGGTAGAAAGTTAAGAGATCTTTCTTCTTTTTTCTTTTTTAATATGTTTGCATCTATAAGATTCTCAAACTGCTTTTGCCACATCCCATAGGTTTTGGTATCTTGTGTTCTTATTACATTCATCCTAAAGTTTTTCCTAATTTCTCTTCTGATTTTTCCATTGACCCTTTCAGTTACTTAAGAGAATGTTGCTCAATTTACACATATTTACTATTCCAAATTTTCTTTTGTCATTTATTTCGAATTTTATTTCAGAAAACATACTTTGTATGATTTCAGTCTCTTTAAATTTACTGAGACTTCTCTTATGACCTAATAGATGGTCTGTACTAGAGAATGTTCCATGTGCATTTGAGAAAAATGTGTATTGTGCTCCTGCTGTTGAAGTGTTTTCTAGATACTATTAGTGTTACAGTAGTAGTATTTTCCAGATATCTATAATCAGGCCAAGTTGGTCCAGAGGGTTGTTCAAGTCTCCTGTTTCCTTGCTGATCTTGTTGATCGTCTGCCTAGTCTTTCTATTCTTTATTGGAAACGGGGTATTGAAGCCTCCAACTATTATGGTTACATTGTTTATTTTTCCCTTCAATTCTGTAAGTTTTGCTTCCCATATTTTGGGAGTCTGCTGTTATGTATGTATATGTCCATAATTGTTACATCTTCCTGATGGAGTCACCTTTTTATCGTTATAAAATGCCCTTGGTCTCTAGTGACAATTTTTGTCTTAAAATCTATTTTATTTAGCCTATAGACATGTAGCCACCCCAGCTTTCTTTTAGTTACTACTTACATGGAACATCTTCTTCCATCGTTTTCCTTTCAACCTATTTGTGTCTTTGAATGTGAAGTGTATCTTTTTTTTTAAAGATTTTATTTATTTATTTGAGAGAGAGAGAGAATGAGAGATAGAGAGCACGAGAGGGAAGAGGGTCAGAGGGAGAAGCAGA